TTGTTTCCATATTTGCACTTTTTATCATGTCATCCCAGCCTACATATACTACCTCTACCCCTCGCTGCCAGCCACTTTATCCACCTTGTTTCCTTGCACATCAGCCCGTACACACTGTAAAAAATTTTATTTATTTTTTTTTATCTAAATAGTTTAATTTTATTTTTATCTTATGTGTATATATCTCTCCCTTATATGTTTACTTTGCCCACTGCGTGCACCCAAAGGGAAGCTTTAAAATCTCGTTGTACCTTGTATAATGACAATAAAGGCTTTCTATTCTATTCTATTCTATTCTATTCTATTCTATTCTATTCTATTCTATTCTATTCTATTCTATTCTATTCTATTCTATTCTATTCTATTCTATTCTATTCTATTCTATTCTATTCTATTCTATTCTATTCATGTGTCAGCATGAACCAGAAAGACCTGTTCAGTGTAGAGTTCACAGGAGGACACCAGATAACCACATTTCTTTGGAGCATTGATGAAATAAAAATTAATAATTTAATTTGTAAAGAAATACCAGACATCGGCGTCCGGTTTGTCCAGTAGATGTTTGCCATGTCATCGATGCTCTCCCAGGATTCCTTGGAGCCAATTATTCCCTTTAACTTGAGTTCCATGGCCCTGGAACAAGAGAAAAAAATCAACCAGAAGAACGAGGTGATGTGCCAGGGAGTGCGGGGGAGGAGTTGGGCGTGAAAGGCTTTCAATGGAATATGGTACATTAGACAGAAGAATATTATCAGGTTCTCAACTTTCCGAACACAAGTCTGCCACAGGAGGCACCATTAGGGATATGTGCTTCCTCTGGGAATCAAACCAAGGACTTCCTGCTTGTAAGGCAGGTGTGCTAACCGATACACAATGGAACCAATATAAGTATATAAGATAAGTAGACTTACACCAGGAATCTCTCGTGAGACAGTTCATTGGCCTTGGCTGCAGAAAGGTGGACTTCAGTTGGGAGTTGGGAAACTTCATCGAACCTGCCTCTGTGGGGCAGTCCTTCAACCAGGACGTCCCATCTGAATAACACACAAACGGACCAGTCAAGGTTTGACATCTGTAGGACTCTGAGACCGTCTTGGTTAGGTCTGACCCACTCACTGGTACAGGCTCTTCCTGAACGTCAGCTCTTTTTGCCGATGCTCCGTCAACAGATCGTGGTCTTCTTCAGAAACCTTCAAGGCTGAGAGGAAAAATGTAACGCAGAAAAGAATTCCTTCAGTGTTGCCGTGTAAAACTTATGGTTAAAAAAGCGGCTCAGACATTAGAGCACCTCCTACAGAACAGCATGGGTTCAAGTCCCTCCTTTCGGACTCTTATAACGACTGCTTATTGTTTTGGTTTTTTTTGTGGACTCCTTTGTGTCTCTGTCCCAGGTCCACACAAAAACTGCAACCAGATACTAGAGTACACACCCCAGGATACACATCATTCATGAAAGTATGTGATTTAAAAAGTACAGAGAATTTGACCGACCTCTTCCTCCTCTCAGTTCCACCTTGTCCCCCCTGCAGATCCACCTGTAACAGGGGAAGACGAGGACCTCTCCCCCCTCCGTCCTCACCACTATAGTGGAACAGTACCACTCGTCTTCTGGGAAAACCAGGAACGGATCCTTCTCCACTCTGATGAGCAGAAGTTCGCCCAGAGATGAAGTCGTTTTAACGGTGAAATCTTCTGTCTAGAAAAGGAAGGTAAACGTGGCACACAGCCACATCAACAGTCATCAACCTGCGCTGCGATGAAGCTGAGATTCAAACTGATCAGACTTACGGTCCCAGCTCTGAAGCCGAAGCAGGTTTTCAGCTCCGTCCGCTCACTCTCTCCCTCCTTTCCAATTAAAGTGAGAAAAACGTAATCGTAGGTTCCTCCGAACGACTGTTGGCCCGTGGTCACCTGCAGCTGGTACTTAAACATGATGGACAGAAAAACACTGAAACCTTTGACTGTTCAACAGGGTCTGTTTCTCCAGGACGTTCTGGTGGAACCTGAAGGCACCACAGAGATAAGAACAACTAGACAACAAGGTACAGGTGGTTTTGATAATGAACCTCACTGTCTTTTATATGTACAGCGAGGACACACCCTGTCCTATTTTCTTTATGTCCTCTAGATGGAGACCGAGGAGCATAAGTTGACTGTTTTATTAAGCGTCATCAGTGACTTAACCCTCTGTGGTCCATAAAACAGAAAAACAAAAAAAACAGGTTTTGGTCTCAGACCAGGTTTTGGTCTCAGACCAGGTTTTGGTCTCAGACCAGGTTTTGGTCTCAGACCAGGTTTTGGTCTCAGACCAGGTTTTGGTCTCAGACCAGGTTTTGGTCTCAGACCAGGTTTTGGTCTTAGACCAGGTTTTGGTCTTAGACCAGGTTTTGGTCTGATCCCACTGTGGTAGAAGACGATTTTCTTGGCTGATTTTGAAGGACTTGTTGATTCATTTCTTATTTTAAGAGGCTTCTAAGAACAATCATGACACTTTTCTTTTCACTTCTGTGCTCTTTACCAAAAGTGAAACTCTGCCACCCCCGTGTGGGGCAGAAGATGCCAAACACTCAAACAAAATGTGGTGGTATGACTTCAGTTTGGACTGATTTAAACAAGGAGCAGCGACGATCCAAACTGGATGTTTTGCAGCACTTCATTCTTCAAAACACCAAAGTTCATGCAGAGTTTCACAATAAAGAATCATGGAATTTTCCCCTGCGACAGCTCCCTACTAATGATAGGCCACCCTACAGTGAGGGGGTGGGGTGGGGGAGGGGAGGCTCACCCACTCTACATACTAAAAAAACCAGTTCAGACAAGTTCATATCAAGAGAAGTTCATTCTTCAAATGTCTTCTGTCACATGTCTTATCATGTTGCGAAAACTCAGACAAACCTGCTGCGTGTTGTACATACGTATTGTCAGTAGGGAAGTCGGATATTAACTTTTTGCCGATATCAGATATTCTGATATTGTCCAAACACTTAATTTCCGATTCCAATATCAACCGATACCAATACAGTTGGTGGCAGTGGTGGCCCCCCTCTCCTCCCCTCCCTTTCCTACCCTCCCCCCAAACTGAAATACTATTGAGCACTTGGTAATATTTATTTATTTGTCAGTACAAACCACTGTATGAGTTGCTGGCACTCATGGATTAATAAAATAAGCTACAATGCTGCCATCTACCGACTGGAGACTTGTTTATCGTTGATAATAACAGTTATTAGTGTGGGGGGGAGTGAGGAGGGGTGAGAGGAGGAGGAGGCATTTTTGGAGAAGCTGGGTTCAGAGCAATAAGTTTAGAAGGAATTACTGCAATTGTGTTTCACTAAAGGTTCTTCAGAGCACTGAGGAACCTTTAACCAAAGAAACATTGAACTGTTTTTAGAGCAAACATCATTTCCCAAAATGCAGGCATTGCGTTATTGTGTTTTCAACATCGGAGGTAAAACCAGTAACCATTTTCACAGATATTACATAATTATGCAAATATCGGACAGCCCTGATTATCAGTGATCTCTTCTGCCTTAAGTGGCAATGCTGTTCTCTATATGTGCAGGGTCCAGGTATGTGTAGGGCCTGTCCAGTCCTGAGTTCCTTGCACTTATGGCTTCACTGATGTCAGACAGCTCTGCCTGAAACTGCTCAATCATCTTTTTGACTGCAGGCTCGCTGAATCGTTCAGGGTAATGACCCAGTGGAACCTGCAAACGGCGACAAAAGAGTGGATTTTTATAGTGTAGTACAATGAGTTTTTTCCAAATATTTTATTTATAATTTGCTGTATGAAAAACAAACTTACAAAGGTTGAGTATCTCTGTGAAAGGACCCACAACATCATCACAGATTTGGCGGTATCACCACGGTTTGGAAGGGTCTCCAGAATCATCTTCATGTTTGACTGCCCCTTAGTGGTTGGAGGAGGTTTGCGCATCAGGGGTGGTGCATTGGGTAAGAAGAAGCTGTAGTCGAACTACAGTGAAACAGGCTTTAGTTTGGGTTCAGGGGTGAAATTCAAACTCCCCACAGTAACCTCACCTGTCCACTGTTGACGGCGGCGTGCTGGGCTGTGGTGGTGAAGATCGCCATGGTGATGAATCTGGTGACTTCCTCTGGAGTACTGAAGCGGTCTGGTATTCCTGTTTCAAAGGTTCTTTTTTATTTGTCTTTTCAAGGACATTTTACCACAAGTTGCTGCTAAATGAGCTGCTGACCATAGTGAAGTACACAAGTGAAGTACACAAGTGAAGTACACAAGTGTGTGTACTTCACTATGGTGCAGTCTTTTATTTTGTAGAATATTCTGGTTCTTAGAGCTTTGACTTTACTGACAGGACATGCCTGGAAGGAGGACATGCCCATAAATGTTCATATTGTTCACAGTGAAGAGGACAGGTTACGTACCTGAGGCTTTGTTTCCCAGAAAGCCATGTGTGAATATGTCGTTGATCCAGTCCTGAAGCTCAGTGTCTGCACAGACCTCACTGTCTGTTGGATAATAGTGCTCGACCACCGCTCTCACAAATCTATTAAAAAAGAAAAAAAAGAAAAAGTTGAAGTTGATCCACCCATCCATCCATCCATCCATCCATCCATC